TGCAAGAGAGCTACAGATGAATAAGGATAAAATGCTGACTTTTTGATTCTACCTACTTAATACACTAAGAGCTCTAGCTAAAGAATTAATTTTCCTTTAAAAGCTTTATAACTTTGATAATATTTGAAAAGGCGTTTTGGGGGTTGTTTGTTTTTCTTCCCATAGCTTTTTTTTCTCCAAAAGCAGAAAGGGCTGGGGGGGGGGAAATCCTGTATATTTTTAGATCAGGTGTGGTAGCTACTTTGCCATCAGCACTGTGTGGGTATATTTGCAATGAAATTTAAATATCGTGATGAGTATCCAGATGGAGTGTTTTTCCAAAGTTTTAGCTTATTTACTCTATTGGGAACTTCAGTAAATATTTATAGTATTCTTCAGGACAAACTGTACCATTAATCTTGACATTCCTGGTATAGAAGATCACAATTTATAAAAACCACCAGGATCTTCTCTAAGGAATTTTAAACTGTCAATTTTTGCCTGTGATGCTCTAAAAGTGATTTTTAAAAATGTTTGTGGTGGATGATGCAATTGTAAAGAGAAAGTGATAGCAAATTAAAGTGTCATGCTTCAGTAGACTCAGGCGTGTAGTGTAACAATATACACTGTGTAAATGGCAGTGTATATTGTTATATGGTTATATAGAGAGAATGGTAGGATTTTTTCCTTCTGTACACTTAAATTTATTTTTTACACTTATCAGTCAGATACTAAAGAATTGGTCTCAAAGGTGCCTATTAATGGATGTTTACAGGCTGCCAGGTTTTTGAGAGACATTGCTTCAATTTATTTTTCCATGTTCAGTCTCTTCTGTGTTGCATTCTTAATTTTAGTGAAAATTATATACCTAACAGCTACACGAACACCAGTTGCTGTAGAAGGTAGAAACAATGTAAAATATATTTGAACTGTTTAGGATCTGATGAAACATTAATGCACACTACCTTACTGGTTTTGTCAGGAACTGGGTAAAATTGCAACAGGCAAAAGTTGACATTATTGCTAATTTTACATTACTTTTTGTGATAATCTATGTTTTTCCTTAGACTTCAGTTCCCAGAGAGTCAGAATTGCTCATTAAAGTTTTTGGCTACTAGATTTTTTTCCCCCTGAGCTTTTTAACCTTTTTTAGTTGCAGAAATACTTAGATTCTAGCTACCTCCTGATGACTTAGAAATGAAAAGGGAAATAAAAAGATACCTCTCGATCACATAAAAACATCTTATTTTAAGAATCTATTTTTAAGGGTAATTTAATGAAGGTAGAGGACTCAACTCATGATTTTTGAATTTTAGTATTGGCAGTATTTAATGTGTTCAAAGGAGAGTCCTGGGCAGTATTCAGAAAAGGTATGCAAATTATAGTATGCACTAATGCTGTAGAAAACTTGCTTTTTTTTCCTCTTGGTGGTTTCTATTGAAATGTCACTTTGTGTGAAGCTAAGCAAAGTCCTATAGAGCTGAAAAACATTGATGGTAGTGACTAAGATTTAGCTTTGTGCTGCTAAAATTATATTCACTTTTAATGTCAGAGCAGAGAGAATTCTACTAGTGAAAATAGGAATTAATCATGAAGAATTTGTATACAATTTTATCCCTAGAAAAATATTTTAAATTACATGAACTTGTCCATCTTTAACTTCCTCTTAGTGCTATGTGCTTATTTTACCCCTCAAAATGCTTAAGATAACTGCAGTCCTTGGAGTGGACTTTGGCTTTAGAAAGTTAGGTTGTCAGTCCTTCTCTCCCATAAATTGCAAAAACAGTTACAGTAAATGAGGTACTTTTTGTATTTGCATGACTTTGTGAGTTACAACAAGGACACTTGCTCTTCAGACAACCTGAAATAAATGCTCTTGCTCCACTCCCCATCCAGGTTTGTTTTCTTGTGTCTGTAGTGACAGCAGGAGTGGGGATGGCAGCAAGTCAGAGCTCTGATGTGTGGCCAGTGGGTGTCCGAGATAGCTCGTCATCACCTGACACTGCTTAGACAGGTCAGCAGGATTTGCTGGATAAGCAAACATGGAACAGTTTCCTCCTGTTGCTGCACAGGAGCAGCTAAACAGGCAACAGTAGCCGTGGAATATTTCCTTGTGCACAAGCATGTGACAACTTCATTAGTGAGATTCACAGATGCTGGGTGTGAACTCAGAGATGAACTGGTCAGAAAGGCCCTCCTTTTACCTTCTGGACTCTGACTCAAGTCTAACTTTTTATACCACTAAAATTAGAGTTTGAAGCCATCAGGTAGAGCTCATTCCACAACAGAAAAGAAAACTCAGCAGAGGGAAGTGAACAGTTGAAGAGAGTTAGGGTTCTCTTACCTGAGACCCTTAACACACAGCACAACCCAAGACATGCACTGGTTAAATCTTAGAGAGTGCTATGGGCAACCCCCTTTTGCAATTACCATTGTTGCAATTATTGTTGTTAGCCATTCTGTTGATCGTTCATATTGCAGGAATTACTAGCAGATGGGAAAATAGATGACTCAGAATATAGTATTAACAATCCATATTTTTTTAATCAAGCCTAATAAGGCTTGTTGCATCTGTAAGATTCATTTAAGCAGTTGCTAGGAAGAATTTGTTTTTTCAAGTAAATACAACAAACTTGATGCAGATTATTTTTTGATCGAATGTCTGTTTTCTTAACAATTTAAACCCTGAAAATACATTTGTTTGTTTCCGTTGCACCAGCTTAATAGCAGTGTTCCATAATTTAGTTTGATAGACTGGAGGCTTGCAATGGTAACTCATGCATTATGGAATTACTAATGAAATCTAATTTTATCATATTGAAAACATCATTGGCCTAGAGGTTTTATTTACCTCTGTTGCTGTCAAGGGTGGATTAAGATTATAGTGTGCTACGTCCACCAAAACTTTGGCTTTCACCCCTTGAAAAGTTTGGATGGCTACAGGTATGTGCTGGCCAAGTGTGGCTGATGAGTTCCAGACGCCTTCATCTAAATCCATGGACCCCAAGCACCACTGAGTATCTCAGATACGTGTCCTTGCTCCTGACTCCTGTGTGGGACACATGGAAGCCAGGAGTCGAGATTTACACTGCACCCTTTGACTTTGTGACTTCTGAGAGTCCATTTTTGGTTCTACATTATCTCCTTCCTTCTCAGCTTATTGCTACAGAATTCGGGTCTGTAGACAGGAACTCATATCTATTTTCCAAGTGCCTGTTTTGGCCAAAATTTTCATCAGTATGATTTGACTAGGGTTGTAAACAAAATATGTAAGGTGTGGTGTGCTCCTCCTGCAGGCAGAAGTAGTATTGACTGCAAGTAACTATTCTTTGGTTCGCTGAAAATACTAATCTAAATGAAGCTGGTCACATAGGATGCAAAAAGATAGACAAAATGACAAAAAAAGTAAAACGTGTTGTACTTCCCTGGCAGAAGTTTGGTTCTGGGAGGTGACAGCATCAGTACTGTTAGAAGACATGTAAAAAAAGCAATCAACCTGAAACAGTATTGACCAGAGTAAGAATGTGTTCTGCATAGGTGTGTTGGGTTTGTGTGGCCTGGTTTTGGTAGCAGGGGCGCTACAGGGGTGGCTTCTGTGAGAAGCTGCCAGAAGCTTTCCCCATGTCTGGCAGAGCAAGTGCCAGCTGGCTCCAGGGGGACCTGCTGCTGGCCAGGGCCAAACCAATCAGGAATGGTAGTAATGCCTCTGTGGTAACATGTTTATGAAGGAAAAAAAAGTATTGCACAGCTGTAATTGCAGCCAGAGAAAAGCAGAGAATAGTATGTACAATGTGGTCTGTTAGTAGAAGTCATAATACTCAGGTTTGGACTGTATGTAGCAGTATGTGTTGCTAATTTATATGCCTCAATCACTGATAAAAATAAAGATCAGTATTTTCCTCAGGGAAAACAGATCAGACTGTGTTGATGGAAGCCTGCCCTAGATTCATAAACAAAGTATTGACTCATTAGTAATTGATTCAGAAAATTGGTATATTTTTACCCATGAGTTAGGTAGTATGCTTGTTTGCAACGTCAGAATATTTGCAAACAAAATAAAGATTACCCCTTTCCTAGGAGGAAATTATTTGTGCTATTTGAAATTTGCTGATATTTTTCATACTCGTTGAAGAATAACTGGCACATAGGCAATTCTGACAATAGAGAAATGCAGAAAGGCAGTAAGCTACATCAGGAAAAAAATACATAGACCAGACCAAGGAACACATTTCAAATGTAGATTCTTCTCTGCAATAGCAGGTGGAGCAGGAGTGCCTGACATGCCCCAGTACCTAACAAAACTCCAGCCTTTATTGGCAGCAGCCAGCAAGACAGCAGAGTGATTTACTTGTTATATGACCAGTCATTTTTATTGAATGAAATGTAATGAACTGTTAAACATTGTGTAAAAACTATTTTTAGAAAGACAAGAACTTGGTCAAAGGTAACCCCCCCATGAATTGAGGAAGTTATTTCATGTATTATTTAAACACTTTGCTAGCAATTTGCTTTGACTAGTCTGTTGAGGAAGGCAGGTGCCTTGTCATTCTTATCAGAAAGTACCTCTGAATATCTGTCAGACTATGACTTACAGCAGCTGTCTACTTTTTTCTGGCTTCTGTAGGAGACTGATGTTCAGTAAGAAGTATTTGATTAGGCAGTATAATTTATATACTTGAATATAACTGTGTATGCTGTTATATTCATAACAGCCTAATGAGTTAAACTCCAGCTCTATATTTATTTGCAATTTATTTGCAAGGTTTGCAAAGTGATTTTTTTTTAATTAAATGTACTATGTGTGTTTGTTTTCATATGCTGTTAGATTATTTACTATGGAGCATACTGAGGCTTTTGGTTGTATTAACAGTTATATACATGTATACATACATTCAAAGTGTGTAAAAACACTACAACTGTAAATTAAAGGACTATGGAAGGTAGTGAGTTTCATTTTTATTGTAAACACTTTCTAATGTGGTTTTTTTTTGTGGTTGTTCTTTTGTTTGGTTGTTTTACAGTTAAAGAATCTGAGTTTGGAAGAATTACAGATGAGATTAAAAGCTTTGGACCCTATGATGGAACGAGAAATTGAGGAGCTCCGTCAGAGGTACACGGCAAAGAGGCAACCCATCCTAGATGCGATGGATGCAAAGAAACGGAGGCAGCAAAATTTCTGAGTTTGTTTAACTTTCAGACATAATACTATGAGTCACTGTGGACACTGGTAACTTTGTAACAGTCCGAAGGAATTGGATTATAAGAGTTTTCAAAAACCCAGTCTGTTGAAATTTCCTTCACAAGCAATGACAATTGGAGCAGTGAAAGAATATACATATGGTACTCTGCAAAGACAGAGAAACACATCACCACTTGTTTGCATTTTCAAATGTTTAATGTAATACAAGTTTTATCTGTTGCTTCCCAATCTTTTTCAGGTGTATAGTGGTAATTTGGTGTTGTACATTGGGAATTGTGTTTTGGAGCACCTGGAATGATTTCTTGATTGTGCAACACTACCGAGCCTTATATTGCAATGTATTTTTCTTCCACTTAGTAGCATATTTATTATGTAATCTGTGGTTATCCTATTTATTTTATGCCTGTTTCCTTTTATGTTGGGAAGTATTAGGATAATATTGTGGAGAGCAGAGTCAGATTAGATAAAACTGGTATTACAGTATAATGAAAAGTTGCTCACCACTCTTATTATCTTTTAAAAATTTCCAATTTCAGCGAGCAGCCCAATTCAGGACAGCATTTGAACATGTATCCAGCCCTTTTGTATCAATAGGATTTAAGCAGAAAGTAAGTAACAGGCACATGTTCTTCTGCTCTCCTGAATCAGGGACTGTGGTTGTAGTTGAGCAGTTACAGTTGTTACACTACAGAGGATTTTTAGAGTACTTCTGTCATTTCTACGCACACTGAGTCAGCTGTCATTAAACAAGAAAACAAGTGCCTAATCAGTTCTGATTTTTGTTATTCAGAAGAAGCAATACTTGCAGTCACTCCTTCAGTGTAAACTTCCAATTGCTATTGCAATTCTGACCAGTAGAAACCTCTATTTTGCACCACAGTTTTATAATGAAGTAACAGCTACACTTTTTGGATGTTTTTTTGGTTCATTTGGGTTTCTTTATCACTGTTTTGAGGGGAGAGGGGAGTTATTAGTGGTTTGGGTTTGTTTTGTTTTCACATTATAGATACAAAGGGATAGTAATTTAAAAGCCAAAGAAAATAAAATTAATACTTATATTTAATAAGTACAGAAAAGAAGCAACATTTTACAGTCCTTTTGAGAGTTTTGTCCTGCAGTCACTAAACATTCAATATTCCTGTAGTCTTTTCTGTTGGTAGATTTTGGGGAATCAGAAATGCAGGACCAAACTCTTAATAACTTTTTACAAGTTATTCTATCTGGTTTATATTGTGAAATACCTAGTAGGTAGAATTTGCAACATTGCAAGAAATATTTCATACTTAGCAGAAAACGTGACCCACTTTCTGAACAATCTACTGTGTTCTCTATTGAAATATTTACTATTGTTGCCTTTTATGTAAATAACTTCACTGTGATAGTCATACTTCTTTATACAGTACAGCTGAAAAGATCTTTACATTCAGCCTTTAACTGTTAAAATTTTAATGGTGACTACTGTATGGGCATCTTCTGTTAAATGTTTTCTGGAAGTTAGTAATCATCTCATACCTCTTAACATTTACTGTCATCATACATGGACCATTTAGATGGAACAGTGCAGATTTTGGAAATGGTGCATTATATCACAAAGCTTATGCAAAAGGAAACCAAAAGTTTTCATGAGGTCAGCATTCTACAGCCGTGCTGGGACCAGGACTTGGGTTTGAGCCGTTGTTGTGGTTGTCATTCTCTACGTGTTTGCATGTACACCACGCTCTGACATGTAAACCCTAGAGTCAAATAAATCTTGATTGATTGTTAGAACATCCGTACCCTCAACTGTCTTCGTATTTCCTACAGCAGTGACCATTCCTTGTGAAGATGCAAGAACACAGAAGATCCATAAAAGTTACTTTAGGCGAGATAAAATGAACCTGCTAGTCTTATGCCTCACATTTATACAGTGAAACGATGTAAAGTAAATAATGGTATGATCATGTCACTGTGTCGTTAGATTATAATCATAATGCAGGAAAAAATAACAGTACCAACATCCCCCTATCAATATGGTTCTTATTTATTTTAAATTAATTTCTACTTCTTGAACTTTCTGTTTTCAAAATTCAAAGATGTGCATGCATACATGCATACATAGATTTATGTAGCTATACACACATATATATGCATATCTATATATGTCAGAAAAAAATATAAAACAAATTTAAACCATCAGGAGAGGAACCTAGCTTGCCTTTTCTTGGTGTGCCTTTTAAGTGAAGTGTCGTTGTCCAGACACTCTTACCTGCATCCTTAGCTGCTAGATTTTCTCTTTCTCTATCTCAACCTTTTCACACCAAAAATAAGACTTTGATTTTGAATGATGTGGCTTTACAGTGTAATAGACGGTGTAACAAAAATTATCACAAAATTCATATTTTGCATATTCTGAAAACTGTAGTAATGTGGCACCCTAAAAATTAATTCCTTATCCTGAGGGACTCCAGTAAAAAGCCATTTTAGACTAGAGCTGTTGCAGTCTGACATCTGAAAGCTATCAGAAGGACATCCTTTCTTCAATCCTGATGTGTCTGCATAGAAACAAATCAATTTTTGCGCACATGCATGCACACAAGAATGAATTATGTATGCAGGGAAAAAGATCTAAACACTGTGGAATAAAACAAATGTAAACAAGCTACTTAAAATGGGTGAAAAATAGCATCTGGTGTACTGTAAACTGTGTAGATAGAGGATGTTTGTGACCAAAGAATACTTTCACCAATTCGTATGAAATCAGTAATGTTTCCATTCTGGTATGGTGCACACTGTGGTCAGTGAGAGCTGCCTTTGGCTTCAGCAGCCGGAGTATGGAGCTCTAAATTAATGTGCAAGCATAGCATAGGGAAATAAGTTTTATACTCAGAGATGGACACAACTTATTTTCTCTTTCTTCTGTTTATATAAATGAATCAAATCATCCATGTTGGTGACTGCACATCTCTACTGGAGGATGAGCATCTCTGTAAAGTCAATAGTACAATAAAGAAGATATTTTAAAAGCAAGCCTTGCAGAAAACCTGATAGAACTACTGACAAGTTAACCTTCAGTAAGATTTTAACCAATTTGTTTGCTTCTGACTTTGTATGTTTAGGTTTAGTAAGTTAAAAAAAAATTGAAAAATCATTGCTTATTACTAAACATTTGTAATAAAAGCTAATTTTTCATGTATAATTGTTGACTTGTTGTTCATTCTAACTGAAGCAAAATTATCTTAATAGTAACCATTAATGTTCACTTCCATAGTCATCCCATATGCTTTTGTTTCCTTTCTATAACACTGCAAGCCCAGTTGTGAGTGCAGAAACCCACATCTCTCAAAGTCAACTCTGGAAAGGATTTTTCCAGATCACAGCATTGTTACAAGATCTAAGTCTGAGGATCTCCATGAAAGCATAGCAGGCCCATGGAAAGAACTCCTCAGTCCTAGCAGACATAAGAGGCTTGTGTTGCTCCTTTGTTTTTCTCATTGCACTAAAAAATCAATAGCTAATGGATAGGCTTGAGTAGGAAAAGTGAATACGTTTAATGAATTTGATTCAATCGCCCATTTATTTTCTAATTTTTTTAAAAATTATTCTCTTAAGAATTTGCCTACAAAGATATTTTTATGAAAAAGTAACTCGTGAGCAAAACTCGTTAGTGATCCACAGTATGTTTGAAGTGGCAAAATTCTACTGGTAATCTGAAGTAATCTGACAATTAATTGGCTAGAATAATTATTTACTGTTTATTTATGCTAAATAATAGGTTGTCTGCATTTGCACAGTGTATTCCAATGAGAGTGCACAGTGGCTCAGGCTGCTTTTCCATCCAGTGTGTTTGTTGAGCTTCCAAATATAAATATGGCTCATGATGAGCGAACCCTTGCACAAATATGTGAGATAGCCTGACTCCCCATGAAGAGGCACTGGTGCTTCCAAGCAGATTGTAAACTGTACAACTTCTGTAAAGCGCTTTGTGTGCGTGCTGCTTTGTCAGTGAGATATGATGAGGGTTACATTTTCTCAAGTGTGGTTATAAAGCTAATTAAAAAGACCTCACCATGTGAGGAAGTCTTTATTTCTTTTCATTCTTAAATAGTAAAGTCTCCAGCTTACTGTTGCATTTCTTTCTCTGTTTCCAAAGATCATGATGGGTGTTACATAGTCATGTCACAGAATCAATTAGGTTGGAAAAGACCTCTGAGATTATTGAGTCCAACCTCAGTGCCACCTGCAGTCTTTTCTTAAACACCTCCAGGGCTGGTGACTCCACCAGTTCATGGAAGTTTTCCAGCTGGTTTAGGTTGGAAAAAACCTCTAAGATCAACGAGTCCAACTGTTAACCCAGCACTGCAAAGTCCACACTAAAATCTAAGTCCCTAAGTGCCACATCCACATGTCTCTTAAATACCTCCAGGGATGGTGACACCACCACTTCCTTGGGCAGCCTGTTCCTACAGGCTTGACAATCTTTTTGGTGAAGAACATTTTCCTAATATGCGATCAGAACCTACCCTGGCGCAACTTGAGGCTGTGTCATGCAGTTGGGTGGGAAATTTGCTTTGGGATATTTGTATACCAGTCTGTGATGCAGCAGAGTTATGCTCACTGTTGCCACTGAAAGCCTTGGAGAAGACATGTCCTGGGTAGCACACATTGTTTCTCACCGTTGTGTTGCTCCAGGTAAAGTCATAGCTTAAGCTTTTTGGGGAAAAGCAAATTACGTTGATGGTTCAGTGTGAAGTCATTAAGTTAGACTTGTAGTTTAACCCTTTTAAATTTGGTTTAAAATACCTTTTCGCAGAATGTATTTGTCCTCTCTGTTTGGTGTCATCATCATCATGGCCAGGCTTCGCGAACGAAGATTTGAGAAGGGCTCTACCCACGCTTGCTACAAGCGTGCTGATGGCTAAAAACTCTGTTTGGTGTATTCATTATGGAAAGGGTCCATCTTTTATATGGTGTCCTCTCATCCATTTTCGTTTGGTTGAATTTGTTAGGGTTTTTTAAGCATACTTGAAAATTCCACATATATTCCTTCTCTTCCCCCTGCTCAGGAAGATGTTTGTGGGCTTTACTTTGAAGACCATCCCCTGAGCCAAGAGTCCTTGGGACATTGTGCCCAAATGCAAATGTCAGCAACAGCTTCTATTCTCTTCTATTCAGAGATCACTGAAGTGAAGTCTCAGATATCCTGTTTTCCCTTCCTTTGAAGTGATGGGATGTTCAGATCCTAAGCAAATCTTTCTCTTTCAGAATATTTGTTAGTCCCAGACCAACAGATACTTGATACTTTTTTCATTTTTAGTTTCACAGATTCGTCAGGATAGATTCATGCTTAGTTCCACTAGGCCTTAGAGAGTCTTCTGGACTGGAGAAGAGTGATTTGTCACAGAAATACAAAGAAAGAAACAATTTTTTAAATCTTTGGGGAGAAAAGAAAAAGCATATGGTATCTGCACCTGGCCAGGCTGCCTATGAGGCTCAGTATGGATTTAAGGGAAAAAAAGTATTGGCTGACAAAAGCAAATTAGGTGGTCATCTCTGTAACTTACTGTTCTGTGTTACTGTTTCACATCTGATTTTCTTCCATTCGTGTTTATTGTCTTCTATGTTCATGCTTTATTTATTTCACTGCCACTTTCAAAGACAGAAGTTTTAAATTTTTCAGACTTTATAAATGGAAACATCCCATAACAGTGCCAAGGAAATAAACATGGAAAAAAACCCCAGTCAAGGTCATCAAAGTGATGTGTTTTCCTTTGCTTCCCCATTCATCTGGGGTGGTGGAGGCTTTTGGCAACAGATGTTGTTTGCCTCTGCATGGAGAGGCTTTCCCTGCTCCGACCCTGGGCAAGACATGGATGGAGATGGTTTAATGGAAAGGGCTGAATGAGCTGTGCACCTACTCGGGATGTATGTGTAAGTGTTGTGCCCTGCTGGGAACCGCTGTCGTCCTCCTGCTCCTGCAAAGCGTGAGGCAGCACCACGAAGCCGTGAGCACCACTTTGCCAGGAGACTCGGCGTGCATCTGTAAGCTGTTGATCCACATCAGGGCCAGCACTATGCTCAAACCAGTACCTGTGGAAGCCTCACAGGAGCCAGATTTTATCTCGAGGACGAGGCCATGCTTTGGTAGCAAACAGCTACTGGTGCCACTTCACTTTGTTGACAGGGCTGCAGCATGGCCATAGCACCCGATAAGGCACAACCACACCAAGGAATCTGAGAATCGTGTTTAACCCTTGGGAAGGATAAAGTTCCCTGTGTTTATGTTTTTATTGATATACGAAAAACATTTACTTAGGAAACTATCTCAGTGCAGTGGAAGAGTTTGTGTAACAGCATCAGCTAATGATCACTCCATGCCCCGTGCCAGGGTGTTCCTTAGTCCAATAATACTATTCCTTGGCCTCCAAGGTTCTTGCTGTGGGTGCTGGGTTTACCTTTACTAGAAGTGATAGTGAAGTGGAAGTTTTCATGTGATGTAGGCAAACAGCCAGAGTTCTTGTTTGGTGCTGATACTTGGTCAGTGAAACAGGCCTTTCTAAAGGCCACAGAAAATTCAGAGGGGATAAACTTGGCAGTAAGCAGGGAGCTGCCCAGAGCCAGGCAGTGGGAAGGCATTAGAAGGAATTAAACTAATCTGATTCTGGGCTCAAATGCTGGTTTTCTGTCTGCCACAATGGGGGAAAACATTAATGATATTTACCATTTCCCGTGGCACTACAAACGCCAGCAATCTTAAAATTTTTTTCTTTCACAGCTTCAGAAGTTAAATTTG